CAAGCAGGACCTGCCTTTCATAAACCCATGCTGACCAGGCCCTATCACCTACTTGTCCTGCATGTGCCATGTGAAGGCAGTTGGGATGATCTGCTCCATAACCTTCCCTGGCACTGGGGTCAGACTGACAGGCCTGTAGTTCCCCAGATCCTCCTTCCGGCCCATCTTGCAGGTGGGTGTCACATTTGCTAACCTCCAGTCAACTGGGACCTCCCTGGTTAGCCAGGACTGCTGATAAAGGATGGAAAGTGGCTTTGGGGGCACTTCCGCCGCTTGCTCCGGACATCGCCAGCTCCCTCAGTACCCTTGGGTGGATCCCATCCAGCCCCATAGACTTGTGTGCGTCTAAGTGGTGTAGCAGGCTGCTAACCATTTCCCTTTGGATTATGGGGGCTTCATTCTGATCCCTGTCCCATCTTCCAGCTCAGGGGGCTGGGTAGCTGGAGGAACAACTGGTCTGACTCTTAAAGACTGAGGCAAAGAAGGCATTAAGTACCTCAGCCTTTTCCTCATCCTTTGTCACTGTGTTTCCCTCCATGTCCAATAAAGGATGGAGATTCTCCTTAGCCCTCCTAATATTTATAGAAACATTTTTTATTGCCTTTTACTGCAGTAGCCACGTTAAGTTCTAGTTGGGCTTTGGCCCTTCTAATTTTCTCCCTGCATAACCTCATGACATCTTTGTAGTCCTCCTGAGTTGCGTGCCCCTTCTTCCAAAGGACATAAACTCTCCTTTTTTTCCTGAGTTCCAGCCAAAGCTCTCTGTTCAGCCAGGCCAGTCGTCTTCCCTGCCGGCTTGTCTCTTGACACATGGGGATGGCCTGCTTGCATGCCTTTAGGATTTCCTTCTTGAAGAATGTCCTGCCTTCCTGGACTCCTTTGCCCTTCAGGACTGCCTCCCAGGGGACACAATCCTTTATCTCTACTTACTTAGTAGAAGTAAGCTTGTAAGATTCCAGCTAATGCCACAAGCAAAATTAAGTGCTACAGCAGCTATTAATTTCAGTACGCAGATCCAGATAACTACAGAAGATGGCAGTTCTGTATATTAAAATGACATATGAAGATGTTTTTCCTAATGAGAATGATGGCTTTTCTAAAATTTTTTATTTAAATCACAAAGTATACTCTTCTGTGCTTATTTATCTTTTCCAGTCTAAAAAGTGCTAGAATATTACAAGACAATCTTTTCCAGCGTTCATACAGTAAGTATGGGCTTTAATTTCAAACTGCTAGGCAAAGCCCAGTTTTCACCTGAAGAATGGCACAACTACACGTGGCTCTGCGTGATTCAGTGATTAATGATTTACCTTCCAAGAGATTTTCTTGTTTCCTTAAACAAGGGTGATAAAAAACCCCACCCTTATCCTAGTCAATGAAGTTGAACTCGCCTTTCACCTTCATTTAATCAGCAAACGCAAATGACGCTATACAACCCAACAACCCAAACCTCAGCTCTGATCCACTCTGATGCGCGACAGCCTCAACTGGGCAAATGGTTTCTATTCAGCTTCTACCGGCAATATCCTAACCCGAAACTGAAGTTTCGTAGGACTACAAATAACGAAATACGCTAGGTTTTGGTGCAGCATACCTCGCTTCACAAACTAGGGCCATTTGCGGTCCGCAGGCGGCCGGACACAAGCCTTCCACCGCCG